GGAAGGAAGGATGGATGGAAGGAAGGAAGGAAGGAAGCAAGCAAGCAAGCAAGCAAGCTGTGGTGGCGCAGAGGTTAGAGTGCTGTATTGCAGGCTAACTGCCCACAGCCAGGAGTTCGAGCCTGACCATCTCGAGGTTGATTCAGCCTTCTGCCCTTCCAAGGTGGTAAAATGAGGACCCAGATTGTTGAGAATAAGCTGGCTCTGTAAACCACTTAGAGAGGGCTGTAAAGCACTGTGAAGTGATATATAAGTGCTACTGCTATTGCTAAGGGTAATCAGAAGACTAGAATTTTCAACTTACAGCATTCCTTCCCTAAAACGTTTTCCAAACACGTAACTCCAACACTTACCATTTCATGCTGGGTTGAGAGCAATAATAAATTCCACATATCCAGAAAACATTAATTTAGGGAAGTCTGGACTGGTTTTAAAACATTCTTGCAAGATTTGGCTATTTGCCTTCTTGGCTACATTGGAAAGAGGTGCAAAAGATGTTTTGTGTGTGTTTGTGTTTTCCTCACTTGAACCTTCCTTTCTCCTTCAGGTTCACATTTTAATGGGCTCCTGCTACAAGACAAAAAAGTTTCTGCTTTCCTTGGCTGAGAACAAACTGGGCCCCTGCATGTTGCTGGCACTGAGAGGCAACCAAACCATGGTGGAGGTAAGGCTGCCGTTACCCCTTGCTCAAGAGGTAGCAAGGAATGACTGTAAGGTGTTGTAGAAGGGAAAAAATAATTTTAAAAATCTGCAAGGGTTGAGGCCCTTGGAAATCAATGGATTTGGGACCACTCACTCAGCCCAGGGTCCTTTTGAGAAAAATTGGAAGGGGGAAGAACTAGAGCAAAAATGGGACATAAATTTAGCAACCAATGAGGAAATAAAGCATCGGAATCTCAGTATGGCAAGAAAAGGAAACTAAAAAAAAGCAGATGCCCAATGCAACCCTAGAGATCAGGGGATATAATGTCATGAAATGCCAATGGAAATTGGACTTGCATTTCTCCTTAATAGAACAATCACAAAAGTTACTCTTTCCTTGGGCATCTTAACAAGAGGATTCTCAGACCTCTCCCATTTTTGGATCTATACTTTCAAGAGATCTTCTCTTCTGGTGTCTCCAGATATTACCATTTCCACTATCCAGACTTTTTTGCCTTTTTTAAAAAAATCAACAATGGTTAAATCTGAGGTGTTACGTGGCAAGTGCTTGTCCATTTGACAAAGTCTGTTTATAGTTCCTGATACCAATAAAGGAGAATATTTGTAGCCCAGGGCTGACATCATAAGTCCTTGGTGCTCTCTGAGCTTGGTTTTTTTCCTGAAGATGTTTCATTACCTAACTAGGTAACATCGTCATTCTAGTCACTAATTACTAGCACTGATGATGTTACTGAGTTTGTGGGGGGATGAAATATCTGCAAGAAAAAATATCTGCAACAAAACTACCAAGTTCAGAGAACACCAAAACCCCATATTTGTCTTCCTTCCCCTGGACCTCTCCTCTTGTTGCTCCTCCTCCTCCTCTTCCTCCTCCTGCTCTTCCTCCACTCCACTCCTTCCTAGCACTGATGATGTTACCTAGTTTGGGGAATGAAACGCCTACAAAAAAACCACCAAGCTCAGAGAGCAACCAATGGCTCCTCGTGGTCCCTACTTTACGGGAGCGGGAAGCAGACAAGAAACTAGTCCGGACCGTGCTGTGAGCTTTCCTCCCGTGATGGTCCCTCCTTTCTTTCTCCTTGTCTCTCAGATCCTTTGCCTGATGCTGGAGTACAACATCATTGAGAACAAGGACACGCAGCTTCAGATCATCTCAACCCTCGAGAGCACTGATGTGGGGAAGAAAATGTACGAGCAGCTTTGCGACCGACAGAGGGAACTCAAAGAGCTGGTGAGCGTCTCGGATTTATATTCCATCTCTCTCCTTCAGAAGAGCAGGTGTTACCTGGTTTTCTTCATGGGATCCATACGTAGGGTATAATATACGTTGAAGCCCATTTCAAGACGCCTTTGAGTTAAGATATGGCTCCTGCTGACCATGTGAATATGGGGTAGCTTTGTGGTTTGATATACATTTCTAGCCTCCTAGAACTGAATGTCAAACCAGACATATAGTTTGTTTCCTGATGTTCTCCCATCCAAGAATTGGCCAGGTGTGGTCCTCCTTAGCTTTTTCATGATCCGCCCAAATTGGCTAGATTCTGCCACCTGCTGGTCGGTCAGAATTTCCACACATTAAAAGAACAGACCAGAAGTCTAGTGAGGAAGTCACAGTCAGTCAGTCAGTTACCATATTTTTTGGACTATAAGATGCACCGGAGTATAAGACGCACCAAGATTTGTAAGAGCTAAATTTTTTTAAAAAAAGTTTTTGCACTGTGCGGGCCTCCCAAACCCTCTGCGCGCCTCATTTTTTGTAAAAAACGCAGTCTGCAGAGAGTTTGAGAGTCCTGCAAAGTGCTCCTGGGAGCTGGGGGGGGACAAAAATGAGTAAAAAACAGCCCATTTTTTGTGAAAATGGGCCTGTTTTTTGCACAAAAAAAACCAGGGCATCCATAGGCTTTGGAAGGCTTGTAGAGTGCCCCTGGGGATGGGGAAATGAGCAAAAAAACAGTCTGTTTTTCACTCATTTTGCCCTCCCCAGCTCCCAGGGGCACTTTGCAGGCCTCCCAAATGTTTTGCACATCCATTTTTTGGGAAAACGGGATGCGCAGGGGCGGGGTTTCGGGAGGCCAAAAATGCTGTATTTCCAGATTTTCACCCCCTTTTTGGGGGGAAAAAGGTTTGTCTTATACTCCGAAAAATACAGTAGTTAGTTACTACTAGACTGATGTGTCACCTAACATGTCTAGAGGAAACTTGGGATGGCTTATAAATTAGTTTAATTGCTTAAACCACTGAAGTGTATACAAAGTGGACTCTTAAACAACCATATTTTTTTAAATAATCTTTTAATACTCGGCTAGGTATGTCCATGCACTTTTCCATTTCAACCCTTTGTTATAGTTAATATTTTCCATTTGAGGCCACCCAACTGCACGTTATCCCTAGGTGACTTACAGTTTAAAGGGAATGAAAAAGAGAACCACCAATATCAAAGAAAAGGGAATGCTACCAACTGGGGCCACTGTCCCTGTGATACAGAAAAGATCAAAAGGATAACCCCATCCTAATTCGAAAGCTTAGAAGAAGCAGATTTGGGGCAATTTCAAAAAAAAATCAGAAAGGTGGGAGCAGTATGGATGTTGGGCGGGGGAAGTATCATTCCAGAGGGCCGGAAGCATCACGGAGAAGACATTTGATATCCATTGAGGGATGTACTTCTATGTCTTTGCTCATGCTATTTAGCACTGAGTTGGGGCAATGATAAAGAGATTATGTTCATCATGGGGGAGTCCGACCTTGGCAATCTTTAAGATCTGCGGACTTCAAACTCCCAGAATTCCCCAGCCAGCCTGGGAGTTGAAGTCCACAGGTCTTAAAAGTTGCCAAGGTTGAACACGCCTGTTGTAGAGAGAAGGTGTGGACTTGAACTCTGGACCTTGTGCAGACTCCGGCCTATGCTTTACTACTATAGATCCACAGTTGTCACATTTGTAAGCGATGAATCTGTTCTTTTGCAGCAAAGGAAAGGCGGCCCCACCAGGCTAACACTGCCATCAAAATCCACGGTGAGTCTCCCCCTCCTGAATCTCAGTGGGAGCCTGAGCTTGTGCGATGCAGTTTTCAGAGTGGAACTGCCTTGGATAGCATCCATCCTTTTCCACTCTTCTTAGCGGGTCTAGGGGCCGTGATTGGGGAATCTGTGGCACGTGAGCCACAGGTAGCACGCAAAGCCCTCTCTATGGGCACACAAGCCATCGCCCCACCTTGGTTCCACCACGCATGCACACGGCCCTCCTGCCAGCCAGCTGATTTACGGGTTTCTATTGTGCATGCACGGGGGCGGGGCGCATATGGGACATGAGCGCCCATGCTTGGGGACGGGGGGTTGCATACGCAGGGGTGGGGGGAGTGTGGGGGGGTGTTTGGCCCACCCCTGTAGCCCATTTTTGCTCCCAGGAGGCTACAGGAGGCCTACAAGGCCCAAAATAGGGCAGGGGGAGGCGGGGGGGCGCGGGGTGTGTGTGTGTGTGTGTATGTGTCAAGCACACTGTGTATTATGGGTGTGGGCGGATCCTTCACAGATTCTTCTGGAGAGCTAGGACTTAAAGGTCCAAAGTGGGATAATTTGAGGCTACCCACATGTGCCTTAAGTGAGAGGTTATTTATTCAATGAATTCTTGACTGTCCATTCTCAAGAGTCTTCCCCAACAACAAGGTCCATAAGCATCAGTGTCTTCCTATCATGCTTCATTAAACGCCAACTTTTGCTTCCATGGGGGGGCGGGGGGGTTGTGTGTTTCAAAGGAATTACCATTCTTTGCACAATTCCAGTATTGGGCATTATATAGAAGGCATGTACGGTACAAATTGTAGAATTAGAGACTCCTCTGCCAATCATCATCATTTTGTTTTAACAACCCCATAATCCCTTGCAGGGTGGGGTCTGGGCAACTGAATGGAGCTAGCAGAGTGTTTTAATGGCCAGATGCCCTTCCCTGTCGCCAATGCGAAGGTTTGTTCAGCAGATATATTCTGTGCCCAGAGAGAGAAATATCTGCCTCTACCTAGGATTGAACTCACAGNCGCCCCCTTACAGACCTCTTAGGAAAGGGGTGAGGTCAACAGTAGGCATTTTAAAGTTGAAGATATGGGGGTTTGATGAAGTAACAACCGAGTCAGGTAGAGCATTCCAGGCATTGACCCCTCTGTTGCTGAAGTCGTATTTTCTGCAGTCGAGTTTGGAGCGGTTAGCCTTGAGTTTGTATCTATTGTTTGCCATGTATTATTGAGGTTGAAGCTGAAGTAGTCATTGACAAGTAGGACGTTGTAGCAGACAATTTTGTGTACTATGCTTAGGTCAGACCGTAGGCGGCGTAGTTCAAGGTTGTCCAAGCCCAAAATTTCTACAAAAATATAAGTCTACATTGACAGAATCTTGCAAGTCTCAAAGAACATCTCCCACCCTCCTACCTTTACAGCTTAAGGAACTAGGGAGGATCCCTTCTGAGATGTTTACCTGGTCCCATTCTTTTTGTGGGCTATTGCCTTTTGTCCCACCACTCCCCTGACTGTGACTCTTTCTCCAGTCATCCAAGGATAGACCCACTTAACATTACGGTCTGATTGCATTCACAATATACCAAACTTAACAGTTCTCGTGCTAGATATAGGATACCCATTCACTCATCTTTTTAAAGTCTACATCTTCACAAAGGAGAGACAAATACTCCACATTATGTACAGACAAAGATCTCCCGCCCCCCCGGAGCTGGAGAAAAAAAGGTTTTGGTCCTTTTAGAACAAGAGCAGAAGTTGGGCACCAAAAGTAGATGAAGGAACAAAGAATCTCCTAAGATTGGAAGTCACAAGAAATTTAAAAGAGAAGCAAGTTGACTTTTTGTTTTAAGAATTGACTTGTCTATACCGAGTTACCTATTTTCTTAGAGATAGAACAAGAGCCGTGGTGGCGCGGTGGTTAGAATGCAGTATTGCAGGCTAATTCACTCCTCACTGCCAGGAGTTCGATCCTGACTGGCTCAAGGTTGACTCAGCCTTCCATCCTTCCAAGGTGGGTCAAATGAGGACCCAGATTGTTGTGGGCAAGAGGCTGACTCTGTAAATCGCTTAGAGAGGGCTGTAAAAGTCTGTGCTATTGCTCTTATTCATTCATCCATCCATCCATCTTATTCATTCATCCATCCATCCATCCATGGTGTGCAGTGATTAGAATGCAGTATTGCAGGCTAACTCTGCCAACTGCCAGCAGTTCAATCCTCACCAGGCTCAAGGTCGACTCATTGTTCCATCCTTCTGAGGTGGGTAAAATGAGGACCCAGATTGTTGGGGGCAAGAAGCTGACTTTGTAAACTGCTTAGAGAGGGCTGTGAAGCACCGAGAAGTGGTATATATGTCTAAGTGTGATTGCTCAGGAAGGAAAGGAAGGAAGGAAGGAAGGAAGGAAGGAAGGAAGGAAGGAAGGAAGGAAGGAAGGATGGATGGAAGGAAGGAAGGAAGGAAGCAAGCAAGCAAGCAAGCAAGCTGTGGTGGCGCAGAGGTTAGAGTGCTGTATTGCAGGC